ATTTTTTAATCATTTCAAAATATTCACTATCATTTGTTGTCAAATCTCAGCCTCACTAGTCAGCTGTTATAATTGCAGAGTACTCAAGAAGAAAAAATGTGACATTATTTCTAACTTCACTGTTCTCCAAAGAGCTAACATACAGATACTGAAAAGCCCAATTACATTTCACACCAAGTGATCTGCATGGAACAGGAGCAATCATTTCTGATGTGAACTTATGAGGATTTCTCAGTATATCTGAGAAAACCACACTTCTGTTTTTTATTGTTGTTTAGTTATAGTTTTCCTGACTTTTTCCTCATTGTTCTCCCATGCCCTGCTCCCCATCTCCCACAGTCAATCCCCCCACCATTGTCTGTGCCCACAAGTCCTCTGTTCATCTTCTTTGTCTTGCCCCTTCCCTTTCTTTCTTCCATTTTCTCCCTCTCCTTTCCCCTCTGGTCACTGTAAGTTTGTTCTTTACTTCTATGTCTCTGGTTCTGTTTTGCTCATTTGTTTGTTTTGTCGATTAGGTTCCACTTATAGGTGAGATCATATGGTACTTGTCTTTCACTACTTGGCTTATTTCACTTAGTATAATGCTCTCCAGTTCCATCCATACTGTTGTGATCATGCCTGTCTCAGGTCATTCCCCCCTTGGGGAATCTTACCCATCATTGGCTAACCAATCAAACATTGGGGGGCCAGTTATGGATGAAGTAAAAGGAGCAGAAGTGGTGTTCCTGCCAGGGAGATAAGCTTTGTCTCCTTAGTGGCTTATGGTCCAAAGGTGCTCACTCAGCCTTAGCTATGGTGGGGTTACAGCTTCTGAAACCAGGCAGGATAGTTCCCAACAGAGCAGTCTACCACAGAACCTGAGCTTATAATTAGTATCATATTCTCCATGCATAGGAAAAGCAGCAAACCAGAAAACTAAAATGGTCCATTTTCAACAACAAACAGCATCCTCAGCAGAAAATTTCTGATTACATGGTCAAAGTAATTTTTAGTATATTTATGGCTTAAAGCAACTAGGACTTAATACTTGCGACTACAATAGTACACTTAATAATCATAGCAATAAGATGCTAAAAGTGACAGTTAAGAGATTGTCTTCTCTTGATAACAGTTACATGTGTTATTCACCCAAGATTTAAAAAGTATATAAATATTGAGATATAATTACATTCTATTCCAAACTTTTGCTATTTTTTTATCACAAATAGGAAATATACTACTTTTCTACTCCTTAGGAAACATTTTATTGGAATTTATATTCCATTGACTTAGAAAGTCTTTTTTTTTTTAATTGTGGTAAGAATACTTAACATGATATCTACCCTCTTAGCAGATTTTTAAGTATACAGTACAGTGTCGTTGAGTATAGGCACAGTGTTAAACAGCAGATATCTAGAGCTTATTTATATATTTTTTATTTTATTTATTTATCTTTGAAAGGCAAGAGAAGGAGAGAAATATCAATTTATGGTTGCTTCTGGTGCATCCCCTGCTGGGAACTGGCCCCTTCTGGGAACTGGCCTGCAACCCAGGCATGTGCCCTGATGAGGAATTGAACTGCGATCTTTTGGTTTGCAGGCCCATGCTCACCAGCTACACCAGCCAGGGCTTTAGAGCTTATTTATCTTGTATTTCCTTCTCTCCACAGCCTCTGGTAACCACCATTATACTTTCTGTTTCTATGAGTTTGACTATTTTAAATATCTCATCAAAGTATTTGTTCTTCTGTGATGGGCTAATTTCACTTAGAATAATGGCCTCCAAATTCAGTCATGTTGTGATTTATGGCAAGATTTCTTTCTATTTTAAGGTTGAATAATATTCCATTGTGTGTATATGCCACATTTTGTCTGTCCATTATCTGTCACTGGACATTTAGATTTTTCCATATGTTAGATATTGTGAACAATGCTGCAAAGGACATCAATAGTCTTTTTGACTAAATAACTGGTATCCCTATTCTTTAACTATTTCTTCTTTTTCTTTTTGATTGGACCTTCTTTTCTATAATATTTCTCACCACCGCTTAACATTTTATGTTACCTGGAGAAAACTGCAACCCCCAACTACAAGATCAGAGGATGCCTGTGTCAGCTTTGGGTGATGGGCACTTTAACTCTGGCTCATTTCATCCTTATCCCATCCATACCAGATATTCAGAGTAGGTCTTTGCAAAGAAGCTGCCCCAAATGAGTTTGGGTTTTGAAAACTTAAATCATATGTGATTAAAGATATGGAACTGGGAGTAATTAGTGGTGGCAATTTCAATTCTTTCTCTTTCTGCCTAAACCAGGGAAATATCAGAGTTAAAAATGGCCTCAGACATCACCTTGAATTCTAATGCTGGGATTATTGACCTGTTTCAAAATCCCAATGACATAAAAATAAATAAGCAACAACAACAAAACTTGCTCCTGCATAAAGAAGAGGACTTTGTTTTTCAACAGTTCTAATCATTAGAATGTTCTTTCTTAAATAAAACATTTCTTTCTCTAACTTTTCCAAGCTAAATCTAATTCTCTATGAGGTCAGAAATAAATCTAATAATATTTTCTGCACAACAGTTTATCAAATATTTGCAGAGTTCTTATGTATCTCTTAACTCTCCTCTCCTCCAGGTTAAATATGTTGGGTTTTTACTTTATCAAGTATTCCTCACCTCCAGGATGTCCATTCACTTCACTTTTCTGAATGGTTTCCCCTAAGTTAAGTCAGTTGATCAATGTCTCATTTGCTGACTAGAAACAAATATACTGTGTTAGCAACATTCCATCAGCCTCAGTAGACCTCTTTCCCTGTCCTGGATATGATCTCTCCAATCACAAATCTTCAGAACAAATGAATGAGCAGTCACATTATTTTTTTAATTGTCCTGGGTCTTTCTAATCAGTTTCTCAGTCATTAGAAATATGACAACAATTTGAATATCAGGAAACTTAAAAAAACATTAATGATGATGTTTCCCTTGTTCTTACCAATGTTTTAAAAGTTTTTGTGTTTGACCATTAGTTCCTTGTTGAGGGTTAAATATTTTACTGATATGGGTTGCAGTTTTGCATACTTGTAAAGGAGGGGTTCTAGAAGCAGATTTACCTAGTTCTGCCACATGCTACCTATGCAAAAAAAAAAAAGCCTATTATTTTAGCCCTCTAAATTTCTATTTTGTCACCTGAACAATGACATACTTTGTAAGGTTGTTAGAGTTGAATGAAATAGTGTGTAAAGCACCTCATACAGTGCTCAGTATATAGTGAGTGCTCAAAAAATATCAGCAATTATTATTACGATGTGAAAAGTCTTTTGGTGCTCTCATGGAAGAAACACTTTGGCCAGGTGAGACTATTTATCACTTTGCTTCTTCTCTTACAGTCTAGTTAGGAAAATAATGCTTTATTATGTTAACCAATTAAAGGATAATTCAAGACATTACATCCTTAAATATGAAATAGGTAAGTGTACATGGACTTATTTTGGGCACTTCAGAAAAGGCAGATCTCAGACACACAAAACACCAAGAATGTCTTCTACATTTTCAGTGTCTGTTTCAAGATAATCATGACCTTCCCAAGATATACTCTACAGCTAGGACACAAATCCAGATGAATCAGATTCTCAGAGGGAACTGAAATTATGTTCTCCATTGTAGTATGTTCTGAGGATCTCCAACCATAAGCTTTTAAAAATAATTACAAGATAGTTTTGGGAGAGGTAAACAATTACTAACTCTCATAGATCAAATTAATAATTCATAAAGTCTGGAATTGGGGAGAATTATTTGAAGACTGAATTGATGGACTATCAGAAATAGTCAATGACTGCTCTTGGGAGACCTTGAGAAAAGTGATCAGGAAAGGTGGCACTTGCTTTTAATAAACCTCAGATTGCTCAGATACATCTCCTAACTAATGGATTGTGACATATGTAGCCTCGGCTTTGGCCAGCAGTGATGCCCAATGCTATAATTGCCTCGCATATAGAGTGTCTGTTTCCAAAGAAAGTTGTTGCTCTGTTGAGAGAGTAATTACAAAGCTGCCAGAGGAAGAACAGTCACTCCGCCAAGCTCACCATGATTTATTGGGAGTATTTGTTCTCTTAAACGGATCTGTCTTTTTCTTCCTGGAATGTTTTCACACTTCAGTATGAATCTCTCTTCCCTTGAGCTCACCTCATTTGTGTCTGAAATATTGATCTGGCTTATAAAGGACAGGGCAATATAAGTGTGTGTGTGTGTGTGATGCGGGGAGAGAGTGTGTACACGTACAGGGTATTCAATGACAGGATTTTTTTCTTCATATCATTTTGCATGACCTAGGCAGATTTGGCCCAGAAACTGCTCTTTCTCCTTGAAAATTTGGTTGAATATTCCTGCCGTTAAGAAACAAACTCTATTGTGAGAATGAAAAAGACCTTCAGTCTTTTCTGTGGCATTTGTCTCTACACTCTGCAATAAGAAATTATTTATGAAAGCCCACCAATGCAAGAAAATCATAATGTTTGTGACAAATTCTTTTACATCTATTGCAGATTAGCAGCTTTAGAAATATAGTCTCCATGGTATCCGAAATACCAAATGTCTGCTGTTACACAAATGCATCTTGCTGAAGTTTGAGGAGAACCTTGGAAAGTTGCAGTTACCTATATCCTCTTTGGAGAAGAAATAAAAAGTTGTTTGTAGTTAACTTAAACATTCCATCTCTCTGGGGAAATACTTTCACTTTTCCAAACTTGCAGTCATTGAGGCACAGTGGAAAATGTTGGTGCACACCAAACCTTTGCTGGAAACATCACCTGTACATCTGCCTCTGACTTTTCCTCTCTGTCCTGACAGGGAATGGTTGCTTGTTTCTCACTTTCAATAAAATTGTCAGTAGCAGTCTTAGAAAATTAAGTTCCTTTGGTGGAAAAAATGCTTATATTTTATTAGACCCAAGTGGTTCAAAATATTTAAAAAATTTAAACCATATTCAAGCCTATAACTCAGGCACTTGGGTTCAACATACCTCTTCTGTCAAAAGGTGCTCGTTGACCAATGTTTCTTGCCTCCAATCATCAAAGGAAAGTAAATCTGTGAAAAGCAAATTAAACCATAGGAATCACTGTAGGTTCCTTGTTTTTGAAATTGTAAAGATAACCATTGCTTTAGAAAAGCTTAGTGGCATTCCTGTCCCCAGGACAACAGATTTCATTATGTGACCTTTCTTGATACCATTTGCAGTAACAGATATTATGTGACTATGATTCAATTTTGAAATTATTTTCCTTTTTGTAAGCACCTCTTCAACCCTGTGTCAGACTCAGCCCATGTAAATTAAGATGACCTTGCACCCTGCCTGGGCTGTGGGGATAGTGGACGAGTAAGTTTGTTGTCATGGTGTTGAGCTGAATAGCAGGAGACATGGCTTTTAATTGCAAACGTATGCAGTGAGAAAGTGAGGATATTATCTGAACATAAAAGTTATATTCAACTAATCCACTAGTTTTCTTGAGGCAATTTATAAGTTCAAGAACATTAGATATGTTGTAATTTAGATATTTCCACAACAAGATTTGTTATTCCCACCCAACAGAGTATTGAGAGAAAAATAGAATTAGCTAAGAAATAGAAAACCAAGTTTAGAGATAAATTTTTTTCTTCTTAAATGGGTAATTATAACAATGTTGTTTTTGGAAAAAGTGCTGAGATTAGTTTGACTGAATACTTGAATAAATGAATTAGGGTAAGTATTATATAGGAAAATTGCCAAATTTGCAAAGGCACATGTCAAACCAATGAATAAACTTAACAAAGAACATACAAGGTCTATTTATTCTATACTTCTTAAGAGCAACCATGTGCCAAAAATTGTTGGGGATGCAAATAAACAGCTTCTCCTTTTAGGTGGTTTATATTCAAGTATATGATTAAAATGCTACTTTAAAATTAGAAAATTAACCAGCAAATGTTACCTGTCCCACCAAAGGAGTAAGTAAAATATTATTAAGTTTCCAAATGCAAAGCATTTTATTCCAGCTTGAGAAAAATGAAGACTTAAATTTTCATAAAGTGATAGAATTCACATGTGAACTTTGGGCCTCTGTTCTGTATAATAAAGCACCAGGGCTTTCTAAGCACATGGAATAATATAGTAAAGGTAGGATAGAAAAAAGTAGGCATAAATTATATATGTGAGCAATAAGAAATTTACACTCATATGGTTATTATTTTTATTGATAGCACAAACAGTAAGCAAACAGGATGTGTAGAGAACAATACTGGGGCTAAATTGTGAAGCACTGTAAAATGTTGAGTAAGGGAATTTGGCCTTGATCCTGAGGTCTAAGAGTTCTCAACATATTTCGTCCTCCTCACACTTGACAGATGACATTAACACTTGCAGCATGTGGTCATAGATAAAGGTATGTGCAAATAACTATAAGCCCTCAAAAAATCATACCATCATGTAAGCCATTTTTTAATATAAGTCATCTTCAAAATCAGTATTTTTAATAATTAAATGATGGTAACTTGTTTTTGACACATCAAAGTAAATGACAACACTGCAATATTGAGGTAAATGGGTTCAGGTTCACTGTTAAGAGGCCGTGAAAATAGTCTGTTTTAAAGAAGAACATGTCATGAGTAGATTATCCAATTAAGTGATAATGAGGACATGAACTTGGGGAGCAGTAATGGAGATGGAGAGGAACCTGGAGCTTTGGTTTGTTACAGGGCAACACCTATGGAGACCTATAGGATTAGGGAAGGGAATGACTGTGGTGGGTGGCAGAAGTCAGGAGAGCAGTCACAAGTTAAGATTCAAGTGGGAATTTAAGTAGGTAGATGGTGTCAAGAAAAGAAACAATAAATTCAAGACGAAGAAATAAAGTAAGTTAAGTTTGATGTAAAATGTGTTTGTGGAGCTTAATATACAACAGGTATTTAACAGGCAAGTTAAATGTAGAACTAGCAATCCCGAGATTGTGATTTGGTAATCATCCATGATGGGTGCTACTTAAAGCCGTGTCACTGAGTAAGAGTATTCTTGTTTTACCTCTTATGTTACTTCCCTTGATAACTAGTTTCTTGGGGACCACTTAAATTTAGAGTCTAGAGGAAGAAATCAATTCACAAAAAGTTCAGTCATAAAGTTAATAGGAAAAAGAAAGGGAGGAAGGAAGGAAAAGAAAACAGTAAATGAGAATTCTGCAAAAGCCAGGGGACCAGAGAAATTCAAGTTCATAGTGGTCCATTATATCAAGTGCTGTATAAAATGAAGAAAATAAGAATGGGGAAAAATCATTATTGCCAAAAAGTAATTAGCATGGAAACCAGATAACAATGTTTGTTAATGGGCAGATAGCTAGGAAGTATAGACTGTTATTTTAAGTTTGGTAATAAATGAAACTACAGAGAAAATGCTCCTGAAACTATATCTGGGTAAAGAGATATATTTTATAATTTGGGGTTTGAGAAAACTTGGAGTGAAGACAACACAAAGTCTCATAATGACAGAAGAAGGACTTAAAAGCATCTGTAAGTCTGGTGTAAGAGCCACCAAAGCATTTGGCAAGTATAAGGGACAAGAAGGGATTTGGGTAGTTGTACTAGTTTGGGTCCTCTAAGAAGCAGACAAATGGGTTTAGATGTATAGCAGATATATTGTGGAAACATCTTTGAAGGATATAGGAAAGAGACCCGAATGAACAAAAAAACAAAAACACAAACCTTCCTATCACAGTGTAGCTCTGACATCTGTAAATGGAAAGGAAGAAGGATCAAATAAAAAGAATCTCAGAATTTAGTGCTGTTCTAAAACCTTTTTGGCCAAACCAGTGGGTATTCTTTGTTTCAATCGCCCATCTGAGAATTCCCACATGTCTCATAAATGGCCATGGATTAGTATCTTTGCCATGCTCTTTCACTGAGAGCAGCACATGGAAAGGATGGTCTTGGTATAAATGCGGTAATAAATTCAAACAGGAGCTAGAGCTATTAGTTAACTCGATGTTCTTCCAGCAGAAAATCTAAGCAGCTCACTTTCACGGCCACCATATTGATACAAATGAATGTTGTTAGTTTCAGAAGAGGAGAAGATATTAGGATTAGTCAGGCCAATGATCAGTTATGGTGCTAAACAGCAAGGGATAAGCATATTGACCATCATGTTCTTCTGACCCTGTGAGTTGCAGGGAAAAGGAACAGATGCTACTAAGGAGAGTTTTATTAAGTAGATAGCCATGGGCTGTCACAATTCTGATTAAGAAGCTAGTCTTAGAAACAGAAAAATGTCTTTAAAGTATGCTGGAGTGGAAGATTGCCATTTATGCCTGAAGTATCACAATTAAAGCCAATTAAGATAGGAAACACCTGTTCCACTAGGATTGTTTAGACAGCTAGGTCTTTCTTCATTGCCTAATACTCTTATTTCATATTCCAACTTGGACACTTGCTATTTGCATTACATTGGACCTGCTCCTGAGTGCTTCTGGCCTCCATTGTCTTCATCTATAAAATGGGAACGTTATAGCTTAGAGATTTGTTATGGACATTGACTTTTTATTTTGTATGTACTTTACTTCTAGTTGAAATACTGTCATTTTCCTTCTTCCATTAAAATGTTAGTTCTGAGATTTGGATTTCTTTTTTCCTGAGTAACTGCAGTACTGATATTTATTTTCCAACTCAGTTCATCACCATTCCCCACTTTCCACCTTTAATATTCATGGCATCCCATATCACTGTTAGCACCAACACCATATTTACCATTTCCTACTTCTGCTCCCTCACTATCATGTGTTTTCTATGTGCCTTCATCAGCTTATGGATCCTCTTTAGGCAAGTTCCTATGACAGATCAAACCTGATGCTCAATTTCATTTATGTCAAACCTAGTGTACTGACAGAAAGACTATTTCAGAAAAATACTGAAGATACTGCATTGGTTTCCAGCAGATTAGGAATTCCAAGGTACACAGTGGAAAGGGAAAAAATAGTAATAGGCAGATATGCATTAGACTAATAGTATAGAATTAGAGACCAAAAGGAAAGAGTGAAATTCAGATTGACCATTATAGTGATGTTTCAATAATAGAAACTGAAGCAGAAACTTAGAAAGTATTTGGAAAACTGACTTCTTAGTGATAAAATTTGTTAACAAAGTAGTAGAAATGGGAAGTTCTATTTCTACTTGGGGACAATAGAAATAGAAATGAAGTTCTTCTTAACTTCTATTACATGTTGAGTTTGTAACTTAAATTCTTCATGTAGCCCATGCCTCTATCCTTTAAGAAATATGATATAGCAAAATAATGACAAACCAAAAAGAATTGTTTGAGAAATCTGACAAAATGATCAAGGAAAATAAATACTCCTCTGAGCATAAATGCAGATAGTTATTACCTTTTAATTTGGAAATATAAGGATTGGAAGATAAGACAAATTAAAATCATAAAATAAACTTTAGACATTTATTAAATCTCATTATGCTAAATTAGAAATTATGTTTAATACATGAATATCTTTTCAATACAAACAAAAATCAGTCCTTCTTAGGAAGAAGAAAGTTCATAGAACTAATTAGCAAATGACATAATACTTCATAAAGGAATGAAGTTTGGAAAATAAATTAAAATTTAAATATATACTAAGCTTCAGACACTTTGATTGGCAATCTACTGTGTTCTCTCACTTAATTCCACCAATAAGGAGATAATAGAGGTAGCAACAAGCCCATTTTATACATGAGAAATTTATGGTCTAGCCTGAGGTCAGTTAGCTAGTTCTATGTGGTAGAATTGAAATGTTCTTCTGACTGATTTGACAAACTACTTAGGTTAAACAAGGCTTCCATTATTCAGAGCTATAGCTTTTCAGGATAATTTGAATGTGTTTATAGTTTTGGTCTATTTTGAAATCACAGGTCTTAGTAGACTTGCCCACACTTGCCTTTTAGTACTGTTAGAGATAAGTGGTAGATCTGAATGGACCATAGAACTAATAAATTGTAAAATTTTATGTTATAAAATTTACCATCTTGAACTAGGCCCTCTGACTAGATTACTGTGAGAATTGTGCAATGTTTACCAT